GAAATAGCCAGAAATGCAGGTGATTTAAGGGCAAAGTACAGAATCACTTATAATTGGGCACTAATTAGAAACAATATAGATTCATGACGGAGTAAATTATGGTCTGTTCTCTTGGTGAGTTAAGCTGCTATTAAAAATGATTTTTGCAAATTAACATGTAATTGCCATTGACCCAGCGACTGCACCCCTGGGCATTGATCCCAGAGACATTGAGACGATGTTCACACACAACTTGTGCCTGACTGCTCACTGCTCACAGCAGCTTTACACGTGACAGGTGAAAACCGATTCGGCCCCGGGGTCCTTCCACGCGTGAACAGCTGAACAAACTTGGGTACCTCATGCCATGGAACACCACTCGGCAGGAGGAAGGAAGGAGCTACCGACACACACACACAGAAGCCTGGATGAGTCGCCAGGGAGTTAAGCTGAATGAGAAGAGCCAATCCTCAAAAGGTACATACTGTGTGGTTCCATTTATGTGCATTCTTGAAATGACAGAATTACAGAAATAGAGAAGATTAGTGGTGGGCAGGGGTTGTGCGGGGGGGGGGGGGGGGGGGGGGGGGGGTTTAGTGGCATACATGGGAACACGAGGGAGTCTTGTGGGATGACATTTCAGTCGTTTTGTAAAGACGTTACCATTGGGAGGAACTGGGTAAAGGATGCCTGGGATCCTGATGTGTTATTTCTTATAACTGCATGTGAGGCTACGGTTCTCTCAAATAAAATTTAATTAAACACACACACACACACACACACACACACACACACACAAACACACAAAACAACAACAACAAACAAACAACAACAACAACAACCATGGTTCTCTCAAATAAAATTTAATTTAAAAAACACACACACATCAAAAAACTAAAGGGTAAAACAAAAATGGACTTTTACAGAGTTTGTAAAGCATGTAAAATGCTTATGTCATGATACGCAGAAAAAAACACTGATATTAAGGAAAACGTTGTGAAAAAAGGAGGATAGAAAATTCCATATCGTGAGTACATGAAAAAGTCTTCGACCACCTGAACCCAGAAATAAAAGGCAGGGAAGGCACACAGCCAATGCCAGCAGAGGCCGACGATGGGGGGTGGTTTATGGGTGATGCGTTTTCTTAAGTACATCTTTTTAGTGCTTTCCCAATTATCATTGCAAGTGTTAGTCCCAGGTGATGGCTTTCATATACATCTACAATAAATGCTTCGAAACTACTCCCTTCCAGAGTGGGCGGAGCTCAGTTCCCTCCCCGAGTGTGTAACTTAGTGACCTGCTTCTGATGGAGATGATAAAACCCAAGTGACCATGAGTGGCTTCCGACCCTAGGTCCTGAGAGGCACTGCAGCTTCCACCCCGTGGGCCCGTCCTCCTCACTGTCACTCTCTCTGCCTCTCTCTGTTTCCCTTGTGCATCACTGGCTCGGAGGGAAGCCAGCTGCCAGGACACGAGGATGCTCAAGCAGCCCTGTGGCGAGTCCACATGGCGTGGAACTGAGACCTCCTGCCTACAGCCGTGAGACTGAACCACCCTGGAAGCACAGCCTCTGCCCGCACTGGCCTTCGTCCGACCTCGTGAGAGACCCTGGGCACGAACCACCAGCTCAGTTATTCCCAAATTCCAGACCCACAGAAACTATGGGATAATAAATGCCTATTGTTGGAAGTCACTAATTTTGGAGCAATGTTATGCAGCAACAGGTAACAACGCCTCCAATATAGATTTGAAAACAAAAATTCTAATCCTACCTAAGCCTGGCTCCAAAGAAAAAATGAACAACGAGCAGGTCCAAAGAGAACCCAAGGTGCCTCACCTCCGAGACTCAGTTCATTCTGCTACACAAATCCCCCCTGAGACCCCTGCTGGCCCAGGGGCCGGGGGCAGGCACAGCTAAGGGGGTGGCCCCAGGGCAGGAACAGGAAACAGGGCAGACTCAGGAGTGTCACAGGCCACACTCGGAGGATGTGGGGAGCTGGGGAAGAAACAGCTCGTGCCTCAAGGCAGTGGCTACAGAAGAAAATAGGGGCTGAGGCCAGGGGACGATATGGCCGAGGAAATCCACACACTGGGGGTGCCTAGAACTGGCCACTGCCACCGCCCCCCCCTCCCCAGAACGTGGTGGCCACTCAGGCGTTTGTCAAGAACTGGGCTGTATCAGGTCTGAAACACGCAGGGAGACACAGAGCACCGTTTACCCTTTGGCCTTAGGTCACGCTAGTGTTTTCATCAACGTGTTTAAACTTGGATCTTGGCTCCAGCAAAGGGCAGTTACCAATAAGACTGATAAGCTGTGGGGAGGTTGCCTGGCCCCCACACTCAGGCTGCTCACAGGGCTGCCTGCTGTCCTGGCACCCACGGGGACTGCTCACTGGGGGGGTGCAGCTCACTGGCGTCCTCCCCCTGACCCTGTCACACAGAGGTCTTGGTCACATCTCTGCCCTTGGGAGATGATTCTCATAACACCCACGGAGAGACCCTGACTAAGCCCCACTCCCATGACAGGGACGGCCGATTCAGGCAGGGACACCAGGCCTGCAGGGGGGCAGGAGCCCCCAAGTGGAGGTCTCTGGCGCTGCCAGCCACTGTACTGCTCCTTCCCCGCCAACAGGTGGCGCTGACTTCCCGCCAGAGCTCGGGCAGGGCGGGCCTGCAGGCTTTGCAGAGGACAATGGCCGCCTGTCTCCTGTCCCCGGTGGGGACCAGGGGCGTTTGTGCTGGGATGGCCGAGGGCAGGGAACCTGGGAGAAGAGCAGGAGACCAGGACAGAGGGCCCGGCGCCTCCTGCAGGGACAGGCTGTCTGCTTTCCTCTCTGTTCCTGGCCTGTTCCTGGCTCTGCTCTCAGTGCTCCCACTGACGCTGAGACGGCCGGACACTACAGGCATACCTGGTTTTATTATGCTTCGCTTTACTGTGTGCTTGACAAATGTTGCATTTTTTATAAACCGGAGGCAAGATCGCTCCCCAACCCCAGAAAAAGATTATGACTTGCTTTATAGCAGTGGCCTAGAACCGAATCCCCAATATCTCGGAGGTATGCCTGTAATTAAGTGATGTGAGGGAGGTGCTAGTGAAAACACTAAATAAATGAACCATATCAACACACTGTGCACCTTAAACTTACACCGTGTGACATGTCAATTATATCTCAATTAAAAATTAATAAAATAACAGTCAGATAAGAAATGGCAAAGGAGGAAGAATCTGCTGGAGCTCTCCCTACGCCGACGGCCAGGCCCGGCCCCAGAACCCACTCTGTCTTCTGCATCCCGACCGGCCTTCAGCTCTGCCGGCGGCCAGAGCCGCACCTTTCACCAGAAAGCGTGGAGCCACCGAGAGCTGGCACCCAGCCTGGCCCACCGCACAGCCCGCCACAGGCCACGGCCGAGCCGTCCTTGCTTGCTGTAGTTCTGGTCTGATGCGAACGGATACTTTGGTGAAATGTGATAGGAAGGAATGATGGGAAAATGAAAGGAAGACATGCAAAACTAGAGCCCGCCTCTCCAGGAGAAGGCTCACTCTGTTTCTGGGTCGCTCTCGCTGCATGGCTTGGGCCGCCCCGCTAACCGCCGTCCAGGAGCAGGCTGCCTCCCCAAGCTCTCACGGGAACCCACTGCGTCTCCACCTGACGGGGTCGAGTAAGCCCAGGCCAGGGCCAAGCTCTGGCATTTTCTCTCCGCCGGACATCAAGGCTGCCTCTGGGAGCCACTCCCACGTCACCGCAGGGCGACTGACGATGGTGAGGAAGAACAGAAGCGGGACCTTGGTGTCCTCCCCTGTCACACGGCCACCCATCGTCCACCCCGGCTGTTCCGAAGCCCAGCGATGGCCGCTGTGCTCCCCGTGCTGCCGTCAGGCTGCGAGTGCTTTCTCTGCATCCTGATGCCCCTGCCCGGTCCGAGCACACCCACACGGCTGCCCCTTCGAGGCTCTCAGCCACGTGCTGCCACACCGCCTTCCCACCAGCAAACGGGAAGGGCTGGAGGCAAGGTGAGCCCTGCCTTCTCCCACTCTGGTGCTCGCCGGCGGCCTGTCTCTCGTCTGGCTGGCAAGCCAGTTGCCTGCTAAGCCTGGGGTCCCCATAAAGAAGAGAACTCACAGGTCACGGGGGCCTTCTCCTCCTCCACTTCCTCGCTGTCCTCCTCCTCCTGCCCGGGCAGCTTCCTGAATTCGGAAAGGTCTGTCTGCAGCAGCTGGGCCACGGCTTCATGGGCCAGAGACGCAGCAAGTGGCGGCGGAGCGTTCCTGGGACGGAAAGAAGTGAGCTGGGCTGGCTCCTCGGCGGAAGCCAACATCAGAGGGAGCCCTCGGGCCCCTTCCACCCAGGGAGGCCCCTCTGGAGGTAGCAATGACTACTTGCACCCCGACCCGGGGCCACACGAGCAGCTCAAGCTCTTGTCCTTGGGGAGCCGATGTCCACATGACACCGCCATTTCCTGGGGCCTGTGCTGCTCCAGACGTGGGCTGGGCCTGGGGGGTGGGGGTGTCACAGACTTGTGGGCAGGGTCCACTGGCCTCCATGGCCAGGACAGACAAACTGTCCAACATCCAGCCTGATGACAGGTGCCTGGTCACCAACACCAGCTGGGGACCTCTGGGAGTTGGGGAGCTTATAGGTTGAACTGTGTCCTTCAAAATTCATATATTGAGTTCTAATCCCCAGTGCCTCAGAATGTGATCTTGTTTGGAAAAAAGCTGGTTGCAGATATAATTAGTTAAGATGAGGTCACCCTGGAGTAGGATGGGCCCCTAATCCAATAATATTGGTGTCCTTATCGAAAGGGGAAATTCAGACATAGACACACACACACACATGCACGCACGCACGCGCACACACACACACACGCACGCACACACACACAGAATGCTGTGAGGGTTCTGGGAGGGACTGGAGTGATGAACCTACAAGCCAAGAGCAGCCAACAACCACCAGAAGGAACCGGCCTTGCTGGCACCTTGATCCTGGACTTCCAGCCTCCAGAACTGAGACATTTCTGTTGGTGAAGGCGCCACGCCAGTGGTCCTTCATCACGGCCACCCCAGAACACAAATCTAGGGAGCGCGGGACCCTTGGGCTGTGCTTGCGAGGCTGGGCTGTGCATGGCCCAAGGGTTCCCTGGACCATCAGAGCAGCTGGTACCAGGGGAGGCTGGGAGTAGGGAGGCAGGTGTCAGAAAATGGGGAGCCATGACCCGGTAGGCTTTGAAGAGGGACGTGACATGATGGGACAGGCTTCTCTCTGGCCTCCCCCTTCAGGGTGGACTGAAGGGTAAATGCTGCGAGGAGGCCGAGGCCCTCGCTGACCAGCACCTGGCGGTGGACGGGAGGGGACAGAGCAGGCACTGAACAGGGGACTGGACAGGTTCCTCGTCCACAGTGAGTCTCCGGTTTGGCTGAGGTCAAGAGGCCTGGGGCCGGTGGGCATGAGGTCTGAACTGGAGATGGGGCCTCTAACTGAATGGGGGGAGGGCTCGAGCCGGAAGGAGCGCGCCTGGGTAGACAGCCGTTGGAGGGCCGGGATAGCTGGAGAGGTGGCTGCCAGGGCCATGGAGGAACAATTCTGGGAAGCAAGGCTTGCTGAGTGCTCCGAAGATGCCAGCCAGAACTGCGGGGTCGGCGTGGGCAGGAGTGGGGAAGCAGTGGAGGGAGGAGACGGGAGGTCGAGCTCAGGAGAAGAGGGACGAGTAAGTGGCAGCTCCTAGGAAGCCGTGGGGATGAAGAGACGAGGCCACAAGTACACTCTCCCAAGCCTCGCTCGCCTGCCCGCCCAGCCTCCAGCCTTGGGGCCAGCTCCCACACCATGTTCCTGGGAAGCCCTTCCTGGCTCCCCCAGGGCACAGGGGTCACTACCCTTGGTACACCACAGCCTTAAGAATACATCTTACCCTAGCCGGTGCTCAGTGGTTAGAGCATCAGCCCAGGGACTGAAGGGTTCTGGGTTCGATTCCAGTCAAGGGCACGTACCTTGGTTGCTGGTTCGATCCCCTGGCCCCATTTGGAGCACATGCGGGAGGCAACCAATTGATGTTTCTCTCTCATATCAGTGTCTCTCTCTCTCTCTCCCAGCCTTCCACTCTCTCTAAAAATCAATGGGAAAAACAATCCTCGGGTGAAGATTAATGAAACAAAGTAAAGAGTATATGCTGACCTCAGAATCTGCCTCCTCACCAGTGGGAGCCACTTGCAGGCTGGAGGACGTGTGTTCCCCCGCAACCCCGCCCCCCGTGCCTTTCCCTGAGGACTGGGGACCCCGGTCCAGTTCTCTCTCCCAGCCTTCCACTCTTTCTAAAAATCAGTGGGAAAAACAATCCTCAGGTGAAGATTAACGAAACAAAGTAAAGAATATATCCTGACCCCAGAATCTGCCTCCTCACCAGTGGGAGCCCCTTGCAGGCTGGAGGATGTGTGTTCCCCCCCAACGCCCCCTCCCCCTCCATGCCTTTCCCTGAGGACTGGGGACCCCGGTCCAGGGTGGGCGGCCTGTGGTTCTCTGCTGGGCTGACAACACTGGGCTTCACCAGAGGGCAAGGACCTCCCACAGCCTGGGGGAGGTCATGTCCCTTTGGGGCTAGGCATCTGTGGTGTCTACAGATGACCTCAGGAACCTACTGGGATGAATGAGAGGGTGGCTCAGGGGGAGAAGCCTCCGGCACTGCCTTTGAAAAACAACCAGTCAAGACATGAGAAATGAGTTCCTCTGCTATTTGGGGATTTCCTGCCCACCACTGGGTTTTCCTTTTCCACAGCAGGGAGAGGGGCGGCTGTTCTCCTGTAGGTCGAGCTGTGTCTTCCTGCAGGCCCTCTGAAGTCCCACTGCTGAGGCCACCGCGCTTCCGGCCGTGGGGACCCAGACAATGCCTGGCTTCGGGCCACAGGCCTGCTTCCTGGATGCCCCTCCCGCCTCATCCAGGGGACCCCGCCCACCACACTCTCAAGGCACTCAGGTCCCACGTTGGTCAGTCGGGGCTGCTGAAGTGGCCACAAGATGCAGTGAAGGGACCGGTGTGTTGTGCAAGGCCCAGGGACCCGGCAAACGCTCTAGTCCCGCCCACCTCGGGATTTTCAGGGAGTTTCTAGTTCAGCAGCAGAGATGAAAAGGCACGTAAATAACACAGTGTAAGGTACACGCTGCTTGCGGACCTGAGATGTAACATGGAACTGCTAACAACGGGGAAAGACAGGATATAAATGGTCACACCCTTGAACTCAGTCAGCTGACTTCCAGTCAGTGTCGTGAAAGATACCACTTACAATCTGAACTAACTCCATGGACCAATATGCTCGGGGCCCCTTTCACCCAAGAGCCCGCCCGCTCGAGCTCCGGGAACGGGAGCCCCGGTGGGATGCTCCTGACAGTCACACGCAGTGTAGACAACGTGTAAACGTCTGCATCTACACCGGAAAGAACAACTAGAAAAAGACAGATGTAACTAAAAATAAACCCACTAAGATGGCTGGAAAATATAAGCTCTGTGGGACCGTAGCGGGTGCTGGGATGGATGTGGCCCAGGAGCCGGCCCACAACAGGGGCCTTTGTGCTCAGCGACTCAGGCTCCCACACAGCAGAGCGGGTCGTTCTGCTGGGGGGCCGGGCGGGCGCATGGGAATGGAGCTGACCTGTCACAGAGGAAGCACACAGAGGCCAGGGCCGGGTCCTGATTCTAGGAGTGAGGCAGTGACTAGGGACGCTAGGTGTGGTCCCTCAAGGAAGGATGAGGGGGTCACAGGCCACGAGCCTCCCCCTCTCCCCGCTGAGATCTGCTAACCTGGCTGTGCTCCCTTTCTGTGGCTCAGCTTCCTCGTCTGCGAAACGGGGGAAGCACCACCACACTGCTCTGTGGGGCAGCGTGGCCTGCATGCTGGGCACATGGCCAGGCCCGGCCTCAACATGGAGGCCCTGGCCAGTCTCCTAGCCCATCCGGCCTCTGTCTCCCCCTCTGTAAAACAGGACAGAAATAGGGCCTGGCACCGTCATGCGTTGAGTCGTGCCCTCCACAGTGATATGCTGAAGTCCCAACCTGCAGTGGTTCACAGTGTGACCTTATTTGGAATCAGGGTCTTTGCCGGTCAGACCGGAGCAGGGTGGGCCCCACATCCAGCAGGACTGGCATCCTTACAAGAAGAGGATACCCAGAAAGACAGGGAGAGACGCCACGTGAAGACAGACACGTGGGAAGACGCCATGTGGCAACGAAAGCCAGATTGGAGTGGTGTGTCTCCAGGCCAAGGCACACGAAGGACTGGATGACACCAGGAGCCAAGAGGAGGGTCTGGAGCAGATTCTTCCAGACGGCCTTTGCCTGAGGACATTCCCTGCTGACACCCTCATCTCTGACTTCCAGCCTCCAGGGCCGAGACAATGCACTTGTGCTGCTCTAAGCCGCGCAGCCTGCGGTGCTTTGTCACGGCTGCCCTCGGAAACAACACCGCGTTGTCGCCGGGATTCGCACAGGGAACATGATCTGCACAGGGAAGGACGTGTGGGGTAAATGCCAGGCTCCAGGCTGGCCCGTGGCACACGCCGTGCCCCTTCCTCCTGTCCCGTGCTGTCCCCTCCCGGTGGGTGCACGGCCTACCTGCTGCTCAGGAAGCTCACTGCCAACTCGGCCAGCTCGCCCTCCACCTCCTCCTGGCTCAGCACCGTCCCTGGGATCTTCCATGGCAAAGGGCTCTCTGCGCTCAGTGGGGCTGGGAAGTCGCGGAGAAACTCGTCCAGGAAGCTGGGGGTCTCCTCTGCCATCTGGCTGCTCTGCTCTGGGGCTCCAGAGGCCATGCCCAGATCATCCCGGGGGGCCTGCCGCCAGGGTTCCAGGCAGGCTGCACTCTAGAGAGAGACGTGAGGATCAGCAAAGACAGGAAGCATTTGGTGCCCTGCTGTGGGGTCTTCGGGCCCTGCAGTGCTGACTGCCAGGTCTCGGGCACCTCCGAGCATCATACAGCAGGTGCCACACCAAGCCCGGGGCTCACAGCAGAAGGGCAGGGCCACCCAGTTTCACACACAGCTCAGGGGGCCCAAGTAAGTGGGAGGCACAACCCTGGCTGGTCTGATCTGAGAGGGATGCGGGAAGCGGCTTCAGGAGACGGAGCCAGGGGCAGCAGCTGCATGGATGTTGGGGAGGAGGCTGCGTTACTGGCAGAGATGGCCAGCATGGCCGGTGGTGGGCAGGAGAGGGCACTAGGGCCAGGCCACTGAGGCAGGTGAATGTGGCAGGTGAGGGAGTTCAACTTGACCCAGGACCTGGGCACCCAGGAGGTGAGGAAGTGATGGCAGCAGGTCTGTGAGCCTAAAGGTGGTACCCAGAGGGGTGGGTGAAGGGTCACCTGTTGGGGAAGGAAGAAAGGGCCTGGACAGGATGGTGGCAGAGCCCACATGCAGGGGAGAGCTCGCCCTGGGCTATTTCAGAAGGCACCAGGCTGTGGGGTGCCTGAGGGTGTGGGCAGGGGAGAAGCAGAGGGTTAACCCAGGACCATCAGGGGAGTTTGGAATGCGGTCAAGGCACCAGGAGGAGTCCAGGCGTCCTGAGGCCCAGCTGGAGGACGGGCACAGGCCACAGACCTGACTGTCCCGGGCACAGCCACAGCCTCAAGGGCTCTTCCTCCCGGCAACTTAGGAAGGCAGAGGGCTTACTAGCTGCCAGCCCCTGTGCGTTACCTGAAACTCTCTGGGAGCCAGGATGAGCCCCCATTTCACAGATGGGGACACTGAAGCTTGGGGTGGGGGCAGACCTTCGCCCAAGAATAGATGATGGGGTCATGGGGGGATTCTGGAGCCCAAGCCCATCATCCCTCCCGTCCCTCACCCCACTTCTCTCACATCTGGAATGTGTCACCCCCCCCCATCTTTCACCCCAATGAGGGACTCCAGCCCCTCTCCCCCAGCTGAGTACCACCCTCTCCACCTCAAACCCGAGTTGGCCCAGGAGCCGGCCCACAACAGGGGCCTTTGTGCTCAGCGACTCAGGCTCCCACACAGCAGAGCGGGTCGTTCTGCTGGGGGGCCGGGCGGGCGCATGGGAATGGAGCTGACCTGTCACAGAGGAAGCACACAGAGGCCAGGGCCGGGTCCTGATTCTAGGAGTGAGGCAGTGACTAGGGACGCTAGGTGTGGTCCCTCAAGGAAGGATGAGGGGTCACAGGCCACGAGCCTCCCCCTCTCCCCGCTGAGATCTGCTAACCTGGCTGTGCTCCCTTTCTGTGGCTCAGCTTCCTCATCTGCGAAACGGGGGAAGCACCACCACACTGCTCTGTGGGGCAGCGTGGCCTGCATGCTGGGCACATGGCCAGGCCCGGCCTCAACATGGAGGCCCTGGCCAGTCTCCTAGCCCATCCGGCCTCTGTCTCCCCCTCTGTAAAACAGGACAGAAATAGGGCCTGGCACCGTCATGCGTTGAGTCGTGCCCTCCACAGTGATATGCTGAAGTCCCAACCTGCAGTGGTTCACAGTGTGACCTTATTTGGAATCAGGGTCTTTGCCGGTCAGACCGGAGCAGGGTGGGCCCCACATCCAGCAGGACTGGCATCCTTACAAGAAGAGGATGCCCAGAAAGACAGAAGGGAGAAATGTGATGACATAGGCAGAGGTTGGAGTGATGTGTCTACAAGCCAATAAATAACAAGGATTAATAGCGAACACCAGAAGCTAAAAGAGGCAAAGAAGAATTCTTTACAACTTTCAGAAGCAGCATGGCCTTGCTGCACC